AAAGAGCTGCTGCTGTATACTGAAGTGAATAAAATATCATACCATCACTGCTAATAACTACTAATATGAGAAAACACAAAATTTTACAGGAGATTGAAGATACCAGAGCTGCTGTTCTTTAAACAACACTGCAGTGTGGAAAGGTTGAACAGTTTGATATATTTGAGGTGGTGCAGAAAATTATTGCAAAGACTTTACTCAAAATTCTGTACTGTTTGCTATCTATAGATGAGATATATGATGCCATTGAAGCATCTCATTTCCCTTCAGTATGCAAGATTTTCGGTACTAATAAGGCAAAGAAGATATTGAGTTCTAAGTCCATTTTGCATACAGAGTTAAGTAATCATTGTCATATGTTATTTATATGAGGGGCATATACAAATGATTTAGACTAACCTGAATTATGTGATCCTTGATGGTGGTGGCTCCCAGTTTACACTTCGGCCCGTTCCACATATTCTCCCTGGAGGTCGATGCACCATTGCCATCTCTCTGGCAATTTCTGTATTGCCTCATGAAACCATTGTTTTGGGGGGTGTCGTACCCACTCCCTGACAGCATCATGTAAGGTGTCACTATCGGGAAATCGGTGACCATGCAGGGGATTCTTCATCTCACGTAAGAGGGCATAGTCACTTGGTGCCAGGTTGGGGGAATAGGGCGGGTGTGGGAGCACAGTGAACTCCAGTGACTGCACGTGCAACAATGTTCAATTCCCCGATAGTGATGCCTTACATGATGCTGTCAGGGAGTGGGTACAAGACACCCCCGAACAATGGTTTCGTGAGGCAATACGGAAATTGCCAGAGAGATGGCAACAGTGAATCAACCTCCAGGGAGAATATGTGAAATGGGCCAAAGTGTAAACTGGGAGCCACCACCATCATGGATCACATAATTCAGGTTATTCTAAATCATTTGTATACGCCCCTCGTATGTTGTCGATTTAATGGTGCTGTAAGTAGCCCTGACTATACAGTGCTTGTCACTGCCTCGTAGATCTGATTGACATGTTGACTGAAGCCAGTAGAGAATACGTTCATTATAGTTTATTGAGACCATTTGACTAAATTCATTCTGGAGATGAAACATGATCATTGAGGAGCGCTATATATGTAACTTTTGTTGTTCCATGAATTTTACCTACTGGCACTGGCATGGAGTTTGACAAGTTGGTATTCATAGGACTGCAGTAACTACAGGGAAAATGTACATAGTTTATGAAATCCAAAACCAAGACCTTGTTAAAACAGCAAACCAAAATGTGGAAGTATGCTGGCTGATTGAATAGTACAGTGTGGGCTGGTATACCTTTTATTTATTTTATGAAAACTTGGGCCTTGGATTGTGGTTTAAACCAAATGCCATATAAGGTGATGTTTAATACTAATTCTAGAGTTGATCTTCCAGTATTGGTTTTACTTCGGAGGTATTTGCAAGTTTGCAATAGGGGATGAAAAATTAAAGACGGTACAAGAAGATGGTTTTACAAAATATGACATTTATCTAAGAAACATTCTTTGCTTCACGAAGTCATCAAACACACTGCAACGTGAATGTACAGAATGTAATGTTATCATTGTAAACTGGATGAGACCACTGCCAAAGAAAGTCACTTCAAATTTTAATGTATTGACTGTGATAAGGAAGAAATATTTTTGATAGAACACAAATTACAATTTAACAAAAGCAGACAGTGCATGAAAAGAATACCTGATACATTTTTCCCCAGCTGAAATTTGATAGAATATCACTCTTTCTGCTATTGATATTGACTGGTTGAAAGTATACTTCCAGAATGTTCTTTCTGTACTTCTAAATAGCAGTGAGAATGGGCCATTTAATTGCGGATTTAAACCTTTGAAGCTTATCAGAATAATTTTTAAAGATTTGGTTCCTGCCTCTAAAGAAACAACACATTACAAAGATGCTGTTTAAGAAAATTTGTGTGTTCTGAGAATCATATGAAACCCATAAATATGCCTTCTGGGCAAGATGCAGAGTTAGTGGTAGTTAAACCAGGTGGTACATATAGTTACCACTGGGCTTTGAAGGATTAAAGAAGGTGTTCTATTGAACATGTACTCAGGATCTCATTTTCATGCTCGGACACAAAATTTTATTGTAGTAACTGATATGGACTAAGGAAGGGAACCACCTTTACGGCATGCTGCAGTGCTCTTGATTGTGGGTTCTGGTGAAGGATATGTTTACATCATTACTTCATATTTGAGCTTGTGTAAAGTGAAGCTAATCTTTGTGTAATTCAGTGTTGCAATTGCATCTTGTGCAAAAACAAGTAAACATGAATTAATGTTGTAACTTTTACTGCAGTTCGGGTTTTACATTTTATGTCTGTGTATTTTCTTTTACTTCACATTAAATTTGTATTTTCCTGTCATTGATTGATTTTATTTTATTTTTATAATTTGTGTATCCTTTCAACATGTGTTTGAAATATACAACTTTTTGTGTAGCTTTGAGATAAGGTAAAAAATATGTGTTAGAGTTTGATTTTGCAAGAAATATTTTTGAATAATGGCATTGTAATTTTTAAGTACTGGAGCAGGGGTAGCCAACCCGCGGGCCGCATGTGGCCCGCCTTGAACATTTTTCCGGCCCGCGAGATTCATCACACTTTTACAATGTACGCTTAGTATCATTATTATTATATTATCTATGTTTACATGTAATTATAATAGTAAACACAATAATAATAACTCATTATGTTTCAATTTTTCACTCCAAAAAAATGTCTATAGTGTATCTAAATGTAATATGGGGATATATAATTTTATATGTGGCCCGCGGAGTTATGATGCATTTCCAAAGTGGCCCGAAAGATTATTTGGGTTGACCCAACCTGTACTAGAGGAATGCGCTCCTTCCGGAGTGCTTTCTCTAATCTGATATTTTACTTCTTTACGTCGCTGTTCAGAGGCCAACTGTTCTTGGTCAGTCAACTTTCTACGTCCATCCCCACCCTTGCAAATCTTTGTTTGTTTGTTTTTTGCTCTTCTGTTCTTGTTGAATAAGTTTTTCTGCATTTATAAATGTAAGTCTCCCTTCGCTTTTCTTTATTTGTTAAGTAGGTCTGATGTTTTAGTTCCTTACGTCGCTGTTCAGAGGCCAACTGTTTTTGGTCAGCCAACTTTCTAAGTCCAGCCCCACCCTTGCAAATCTTAGTCTTAAAATTGATCATAAAATCAGCTTTTCTGATGTTTTAGGCAAACTGTCAGTCAATTTTCAAGAATGCAATGTGCTGCTTCTGGAGCAGTGATCATGCGACTGGCTTGATAGTTTTTGTTGTGAAGCATTATTTGTTTACTCGACATTGTTGTGGAACACAACAATGCCGAGTATAAACAAATATAAGTTGACATTGTTGATGACGTCATTTTTTGACGACAACGAGGAATCACAAATTTTTATAGTAGATTCTTCATACAGTAGCATGAGTGAAGAAAATCGTATGGACCCATCCATATCTGTCTGTCAAATTTTTCTTATGGGATTAGGCAACCTTTAGACAAGGGGTCATTGTTGCACAACAGTGGGGCCAAAACCTGATTCTTAGAATACAGTGTTGTGCAATGATGGGAGAAACATGTTCCAACAATGATAATTCCATTGTTGGAACAAATTGTTGCAAACAGTGGCATTGGATTGCATAAATGCAAGAATGGGCTAAGGAGCAACATGTGCCTTGCCTCACATTAGTGCGATGATAACTAAAGGCACACCTGTGCTCAGATCAGTGCAAGAATTATGTGTGGTGCAAGAGTGACTTTAGATAGCATTACTGGACATGTTCTGGTGTGAAGGATGTCTTTGTAATGTCACTGTACTCCCAAGAGTCCACCTTTCCAGTCTTGTTATTGAAAGGGGTAGTAGATACTAGCTAGGACTTTGATTTGGTTTTTTACTAATAGCTGCAGTAATTTCTTGTTCTTGCAAAGTAATATTAGTTCTGTCTGCTGAACTTCAGGACTTTTATTTCTTACTACTAAGAGGTAGCTGTAATGGATGTTGGGTTCTTCCTGTTCCATATACAGATGCTTCAAAGTGTTTGTTACCCACAGTAGAATAATTTTTTTATGTTCTTCAGTTTTAAAAATTATGAAAAGATGAAGGAAAGGCATATTTTGTGAAATATCTTGAAACCCTTTAGTTTCTAGAGTAATCTCTGAAAAACTTAAAAACTAGTAGTTTACCAACGAGACGGAGGACTCGCATGACATTGACAGAAGACTAATACCAGATAACTAAACTGCAGTATGAGCATTATCAATAAAGAAATCAATCATGTTACCCTTTATTTCATTATTCCAATTGTCTATTTTCCCATAATTCAAGTTGATCATTTCGGTCCACATCTTGTCTCTCCTTTGCACACCCATTGTTAACTGTCCATTTATCATGTTCTTGGCACACAGTATTTTGTCTGCATCCCAACATTTCAGAGGAAAGTACTGCCTCCATCATCAGGGCTGAAGTAATTATCTGGGTTGTCATACCATATATTTTGGCTGTGTGGCAGTGCTTTGGCCCTGATGATGGAGGCAGTATGTTTATCTGAAACATTGGCTCAGAATTAAAATACTACATGGTGCAACAACCAAGATCATCTTTTTACACAGTCTCTTTCCTTTTTATTTCAATTGTGTTCATTTTGACCAGTTTAGCATTGTTTGCTTCACATGGCCAAACCACTGAAGTATATTTATTTCTAAATTTTTTTTGTAATGTCATCACTTTTTACACAATTACCACTTACTCATTCGTGCATATGCAGAATGATCAAAAAATCATGCAACCCATCTCTGACACATGTGTATTTGTGAAAAAAGAAAATTAAATCAGAAAACAAAAAGAGCAAGTAATATAAGAATGAGATGTCAGGTAGTGTTCAACAATGAACAGTTATTGCACTTATAAGACAGACATCTTTTCACTTCTGCTGTTAAAAGACAACTGATGGAGTGTTGCAAGCAGGTTATCAGTGTGCTGTAACCTGCATGGGCTTTTGTATAGTTACAGTCCAACTGAATTGTATTGAAATGCAACCATCTATAAATATTTTAATTTGGTTGCATGACAGTTCCATTCTATATTACTTCATTACACTACATTATATTATTGGCAGATCCATACACCTAGATTTTGATGTTTCATTGTAGTTTATTCCTTGTTTTGTTTTTCTTCTCTAGCCCTCAACATCATCAGGCATTGATTCTTTGGAAGCTGACAGCAGTGCCAGTGTTGGTAGCATAAGGCAAAGGCTCTTGACAAATACAACCAAACCAGCACATAAACATAGGAAAACAACAAAGCGTGGGACAACCAGAAGAAGGAAGAAGAGGCGTAAGGCATCAGGAGCCAAGAAGTCCAAAAGAACCACTTCATCAACTAAAGGCACTTTAAATGAAACTTCAAAAAGGAAGCAGAAGAAAAGAAGAAAAGTTAAACGAAAGAAAAGAAAAGTTAGTAGTAACTCATTCTCTGAATATCAAGTCTGTTTATCAAGATTGTTTAAAATAGGGCATTACACTACAGTCACAATAAATTCCATAAGAAATAACGGATAAAATTTATAGTTTAGATGCGTCATGTTTGTGTTTAAAATTCAAATATATATTTATTATTCAAGTCTATACACAAACTTTTAAATTGTTGATGTTAAAATTTAAAATTAATATTAATATTCTGCGCCATTCATCGTTATCTCGATGTTACAATATTGCGCTTTATACTACTACATGTTTCAATGTCATAGTATTATCTTCAGGTTTTTATCTTTAAAACTATTCTATATTTATTAATGCAAGCTTTTCATTGATTGTAGATGTAGATTACTGTTGTGGGTGTTACTTTGATCTTCTTATTATTTTGCATATTATGTTAGTTGTTCATTATTCTGTGAAATTATCAACAATATAATTAACATTTGAGTTATTAATATGTTCCTACTTTTACAAAGAATTTCATATGACAATATCCAAACTCATTTTCATATAAATAATATTAATAACTCAAATGTTAATTATATTGTTGATAATTTCACAGAATAATGAACAACTAACATAATATGCAAAATAATATGAAGATCAAAGGAACACCCACTACATTAATCTACATCTACAATCAATGAAAAGCTTGCATTAATAAATATAAAGTAGTTTTAAAGGGGGAAAAAAACTTGAAGATGATGCTATGACATTGAAACATGTAGTAGTATAAAGCGCAATATTGTAACATCGAGATAACGATGAATGGCGCAGAATATTAATATTAATTTTAAATTTTAACATCAACAATTTAAAAGTTTGTGTATAGACTTGAATAATAAATATATATTTGAACGGGTAAAATGGTTGTTGTAGGATGTGTAATGTAACATCCCATTTTTGTTGCTCTTTTTTATGGCTACAGTGTATGTTGGGTGTGATTGCTGTTGAACTTCTTTGCTTCATAAAAATACCATTACTTTGAAACATAGAGCCGACAAATTATGTTTTAGACAGTTTGCCAGTTTTTAAATGAAATATCATTTACAGCCGGTCTTATGGCAACACCACATACAGCAACAACTGGAGAATCCAGTGTGTTTAGCTTATGTTGTATGTAAATATCTATTGGTTACTGAAACCAAGTCTTATTCCTCTCGTAATTCACTTAGAATTCCGTTTTGTAAATGTTTGTGATTGTAATATTTTAGTTATGCATTATTATGCATTTCTGAGAAGTTACAGACCATTCCTTTATTCTTCAGGCCATATCTCGCAGAGCAAGAAGACCTGCTCGGATAGCAGTGCCCCACTCGGTAAAAGGACGCTTAGCCGAACATCTAGGAGTGTGTCCACCACGGAGGCCAGGCCAGACAATACCTGATGTTCGACCTCGTGTTACTTCAACTCGGATTGACTTCCAGCGAAGTCGAGCCGGCATCCCCACGTTACACTTGTTTGGTCAGAGAGACCAACTTGATTACTTTTCATCTGGGTAAAATTGCTTGCCTACTCTCATGGTTTGCCTGCATAATATGTAACATCTTTTATTCTACTTAACATTACTAAGTACCACATTTTTATTTGTAATGTTAAAAGAAATACCTTCGTTAGTTTTATATTGTGTTGTTTTCACTGACTTCTGAGCTTTGTAATGGAATGTGAACAGACTAGTGAGACTAGTGATGTCTATCTTCTGGGCTGTTGCACCCTGTAGTGTAGTAGAAGTTTACCAAAGTTTCAGAGGTCCTTGCTGCCTCCATCATCAGGGTGATACTCATGATACTGATGATAAACATCGGTAAACTTCTACCAGACTGTACGGAGCAATAACCCAGAAGGCAGCTGTCTTCGATCTCACTGCCGTGAAAACCTAAAATCCTACATTTTGAGACTAATATTATAACTTTTGTTCTTGAGGCAGTTTACTGTGCAACTAGACTAACGTGTACAAAAGTTATGAACCTGTATGTTATACGTCTGAAGTGAATTTAACTGGTGTTGCTGCTGCTACTACTACTACTACTACAACAGCAACAACACTAATAGCATTACTAATACTAATCCAACTTTTTTGGGGGTGGGAGAAGAACAAAATTACATTATATACATAGTCAAATCTTTTTCTCATCACAATTGTACTTTATTTGTTCTAACATACAGTCATATCATGAAAATCGTACATTTTACAAGTGTTTTATAACTAAAGAAGTCGTTTTCTGTTTCATTTGGTACAACTCCTTTTTAAGGTTTTTTTTTTAAAATTCAAGGTACAAAATGCTTGTTTCCCAGGCAGACCTTAAATGGGGGTTTTACTGAATTGTTTTATTTGATTATGAGATTTTCTGCTTGATTTTCTGTGTTTATTTTTCAGGTCTGACTATGAGGGTAATGGTGATATGGGTGGAGATGTGTCTTTTATGGCACACCCTCGC